GACCGTAAAGTTTCTAAAAGCGGGGAAAACAAAAGGACTAGAAAGAGTTCCTTCAGAAGCTCCGAAAGAGGGATGCAGAAACCTCGGCAGATTTGATCATGCCAGTAGTGAAGAAGGCGTAGAAGTAAGCATATATACGTACCTACAGATAGGAAGACTACCTCCTCAAACTACCAAAGTTGGACGAATTAGGCCTTTGCAATGACTGACGTGGAATCATGCTTCTGTCCACTCCGATCAAAATATTGAACCGCGTTATCCTGGAGAGACTATAAGATGTCCTCTGTGAAAGGGACTCGCCCAGAAAAAAGTCATGTGTGGAACAAACTGAAACTCTATGAATCATCGACATGACGGTATTATGATTTAGTGTTAGTGCTCTGTTGGTTGTTATTAATGTTGACTAGGGTGAACCTCTAGATAGCCGATTACTTGAAAAAATTCCCCCACGCCGAGGTAGACACAGAAGTCAGGTATAACTGAGATGAACTGCAACTGTAACAACTTTACTGTTCAAAGTACACAGTTAAATTGTTCGTTATACATCGACGGAAATTTAAACCATAGATAAATAATCCATATCTGATTGATTGCATCAAACATGATTTTACGGTTAGCAACACATACTGAGTCCGCCCCATAACCTCCCCTTTTTAGTAGGTTTTCATCTAGGGGACCACTGGAAGATATTACTAGGTTTGTCTATGATAGGCAACTATCTCTGCACTTCGGCTTTATTGACTTTAGAAAGACCTTTGACAGAGTCGACCATGAAGTAGTTTGAAGTTAGCTTCAACACTACGAAGTGCAGTATAGAAAATATTTACACACTTCACTCAGTTGTTATTTGATGATATTATGTGCCAACTGATTCACAACGGAAAAACTCAGTGAAGAATTTGAAGTCAAGACGGAAGTGAAATCAGACTGTTTACTATCACAGACGGCCTTCTTAACTGCGCTGGACTGAATGATGTAGTGTACAATGAGAAGATGAGCATATCTTGGACTGGTTAAAAAACCTTGAGAGATCTGGATTTGTTACAGGATTTTCATCATGAGCTGACATTAGTTAGAGAACCATCCGAAAACCTGGGAGTACTGGACAGCTGTTTCGTCAGCCTAGTTTGGGACTCTTAAGCAGTAAGCACCCACAGGGGCTCGAACCCGGGGCCTTCTGGTTACAAGGCGAGCTCGTGGACCATTGAGCCACTGGGACCCGATCCAATGGCCCATGAATTCTAACTTTTGCCAATTCACGACATAGCGTGACCACTAGCCAATGTCTTCGGCGAGTATTTGTCCTCACACCCGACCTGCTGCACCCTACTGGTCACGACTTCTCACTAGAACCCTAGGTAACTACCTACCTGAATAAGGCAAGTCGTCAGTGAGCATCTCATTGATATTCAAGTGTTGGTTTGTAGGGATTTGATTGGCTGCAGGATTTTCATCATGAGCTGACATTAGTTAGAGAACCATTGGAAAACCTGAGAGTACTGGACAGCTGGATGACTTCAATCTCATGCTGCACAAACTTGAAGGTTTACGAGCATACACCAAACAAATTAACAGAAGAGGTGACAAGATGCAGGACTTCAAGTGAACATAGAAAAGGCATATAAGTGATGAAAATACCGGACCAATAATAAACACTAATCTTCGTCAGAGGGAGATATCTCAAAAAGAAACCGCCCCTTTTACTCATCTTGGCATCTGCATCGTTTCAACAACAGGCGATGGCACGGAAGAGGATATCAAACCCAAATATGATCTGGAAAGTAAGGCAGGCGTACGTTTCTTGGAGATGTACAGCAGCCAGCGGAAGGCACTAGGTGTGAATTTCCGAAACTGATGTTATATCAGTGCTTCTGTATGCTACAGAGAATTGCTGCGTGCTTCGCTGGAAACATTTCCAATAAGCTAACCAGTCAAGAACATATAACCCAGAAAATATGTAGAAAGGAATGCAAATAGACTGGACATATACTAATGAGACATTCAAATGACATCACCCTTCGAATAGGCCTTTAAATGGCCCCTACTTACCGCCAAATAGATGGTGTAGCTATGGGTAGTCCACTTAGCCCTGTTTTAGCAGATATGTGTTCATGTCCAACCTTGAAAAACCAAAGTTGAAGCATGCAATCGACGAAACAGCTCCTTACTGTCGATATGTCACAGATGACACATTCGTAGTGTGCAACAATGAAAGTCATGCTTCCCACTTACTCAGATTATTTCAATGACACACATACCAATATTGAAGTTACTATGAAACATGAAAGTGATGGAAAGTTTCACTTACTCGACATTGCCATGCAAAGCCTAGCAGATGGTAGTCTTCAGAAGTCAATTTACCAAAAGCCTACTTGGAAAGGACAATACTTACATTTTAATAGTTTTCTTCACATAGTTTTAAACGCGGACTAGTCAAGAATCTGCACTATAGAGCGAGGAGAATATGCTCTATAGAGAAATTAGAGGAAGAATTTTTCTTTCTTGAAAAGATGATGAGGAGCAATGGTTACCCTGAAAAATTCATTTACAAGTATGGAAGATCTGAAGTCTCAAATGTTAAACAAATCACAGTGGAGAAAATGCCAATCCACATTCATCTTGATTATAAAGGTGAAAACATTGCAGCGATGGTTAACAGAAGACTGAGTACGTCACTAGACACTAGACACTGCAGCTAAGCTTGTCCCCGTGTATCAAACAACTTGCGCCTCGGTGCAATCAAAAATCGATAGATATCCTTCTCATGCTAACTCCCACTGTATAAACAAATTTGCATGTATCTGAGGGAGCAGTTACATTAGAAGGACAGAAAGAAGGGCATATCTACGATTTTCTGAACATGTATCAAAAAGCTTATGTCTAAAGGGAACAAATGCTTTAAACAGTGTCATCGTCAGGCATCTTCTTGATACGGGTAATGAGGTGGACGTCGCAAAATCGTTCAAACTTATCAATAGGCAAAAGAGTTCAATTCTCCTCAAGTTTGCTGAAGCCATTTCCATCAAGTGCCTGAAACCTGATTTGTGCATTGAGAAAGAAACAGTTATCAGTCTTTCCTTGCCAACCTGATTACTGGATATTTCCATCTCTCTCACATTTGACTATGTAATGTCGAAAGTTTCTATTGTGTATGATCACTATTGTTCGGAATAGTATTTACTATTATATATATTTATATATTATTACTGAATGCATATATTGGTTGGTTGATTTTTGTTTAAAATGAACTTTGTGCAGGCATGTTAAAATTGTTTTTGTAGATACATTTAATAATGTCTTTGCCCTGTAAGCAGCTGACTAGAAGGCAACGAAATAAAAGATGGTACCACTTTATTCTACAAAACTGTAGTTCTTGCTTTGTTCAAATTCATTCAGGGGAATAAATGTATGGAATCCAAATGTGAAGCCAACAGTTGGGCCTCCAAGGGTGACACAAAGGAGATCATTTGAAGAGAAAATGAACTTTTGTGGACAGCCATGCTGCCAGCTGAAGGTGTTGGCAGAGAATGGAGTGCAATGTACATGTCTGGCTGTATCCCGGAGGTCAAGGAGTGAATAGACGTAAAAACTTGACTTGATCATCATGGTGGATAACTTATCCTTTTCTTATGCAAATGAAGTCGCCAAGGTGAAGTAATAACGTCTGGTCTCGCAAATGAAATGATTCCTGAAGTTGTGTAAAATTACAGTCTACAGATTCAAGTAAAGTGACATAATTACTTCCATAAAACACAAAATAATTGAGCAAAGAGTATCCTTTTCGATAACTTCCTCTTCTCGCTCTACAATTATATGTATATGTTTATTTACATAGAATATTCTAGATTAGTAGTCAATAACAATATTAGTGCTGTCTAAATAATATTGATGTGTTAAGTAAGATCAGTGGAATTACAGTTCATTAAAGATGATTAAATTGTAATAATAATAATAAAGATATAATAACAAATAGAATATCAACTAAAGTTAAGGAAAATTCCACAAAAATTGAGGATCATTCGAATCTCGATGGCCAAGGTAAGGATAATGTCTGAACTAGCTTCTTTTGGATGCATAGATTAGGCTTCTTGATGTGGATCCCAACAACCTCAGAAATATTCATTATATTCGAACTCTTAAGGCGAAATTGAGATTTGTCGGTATGTGGTAAATGACTCTGAGGCCTAGTTAACATCAGTCTTGTGTTCTGTATCCACAAGGTGAGATAGAATAGTGCTCTGCGAATAGATTTTGTTTTTCCTTTACTTAACCACGTAGGGTAATGTCCGGAAATCCGACAATGAGAAAATCCATTTGTAGTGCTATTCTATCTCATCTTGTGGATACAGAACACAAGACTGATGTTAACTAGGCCTTCAGAGTCATTTACCACATACCGACAAATCTCAATTTCGCCTTAAGAGTTCGAATATAATGAATATTTCTGAGGTTGTTGGGATCGACATCAGGAAGCCTAATCTATGCATCCAAAAGAAGCTAGTTCAGACATTGTCCTTACCTTGGCCATCGAGATTCGAATGATCCTCAATTTTTGTGGAATTTTCCTTAACTTTAGTTGATATTCTATTTGTTATTATATCTTTATTATTATTATTACAATTTAATCATCTTTAATGAACTGTAATTCCACTGATCTTACTTAACACATCAATATTATTTAGACAGCACTAATATTGTTATTGACTACTAATCTAGAATATTCTATGTAAATAAACATATACATATAATTGTAGAGCGAGAAGAGGAAGTTATCGAAAAGGATACTCTTTGCTCAATTATTTTGTGTTTTATAGATATCTGAATGAATATAATCGCAATAATTACTTCCGTCTAGAGAAACTTTAAATCCACTTGGTTTCTAACCTGGTGGTTTATTATCTAAACTTATATTTCTTTCTTATACTAATGTCCTAGCACTTCTCACCTTATTACATTCCAAAATATCTTGATGATTCACAGAGTTTCAGAAAATATTAACGCTCATTATTAGGGTATTTATTGTTGAAAACTGCATTCCACTGACAGCATTTACATAACACACTGTTTATACGAATGTACACTTTGAAGAACAAAGAGATAATAATAATTAAATACAAGTGAAAATAATTTCCATTTATATCAGTTCCAAAAAGCACAAAAATGACAAGAAAAATGACTAATTTTCAATCGAAAAATTCGCATTTCCAACTTTATCAAAATTAACGACATTTAAAGAAGAAACAGTAATTGTCACAGCATTCACGACTTCGTAAACAAAATCTGCCTTTTTGTAAACATCGTACACAAGTACCAGAAAATGGTGCTTTTAAATCACACACTGATGTATCACAGCATCGTTGGCCAAAAGGTAATTTACGACAAAAATTGCCAAGATTTTTACACGGTAAATTGTCTTCTCGCCAAAATTCCTCTGTGTTACGGATCACTGAAACAAAAGCAGTTTTAAATAAGAATAATATTAATAATATTACTTTTGAATTAATACCATTTACAAAATGAATTGTATGAACTGTAACACACGTTACATCGGTCAAAGTGGGCGTCCACTTCGAATCAGAATCCAAGAACACAAGTCAGCTGTGGAAAGGCATGATATATCTTTCTGTTTCATATCAATGCATTTAGATAATTATGGACACCATTTTGATTGGGATAATGTTGAAATTTTAAATAGAGGAAACGCTTTAAAATGCAGTAACGGGATTTCTAGAAATCTGGTACTCAAACGAATCAGCCAGTGAATAACAAACATGTTAATATAGACCAAATATACCAACTAATAAAAAGTGCTCGAGAACATCTCCCAGTATGGCTAAGTAAATGGGTAGTGAAAATCATCAACATTTTGACACTAGACCATCTGGTACAAACCGGCCACAAAGCCAGCCACTATTGAATAATCCTTCTCTATCATCTACCGGGTGCCCAATAAATTGCCAAAAACATCGAAGCATCGCATGCTCTAAACAGTAGAGGCTATCGCGATTCGCCTCAAACAAGCAGTGCTCTGTGTGCAAAAGAAACAAGTCCAGCCACTGCTACTGCCCTGGCCAGCCTTCAGTAGAGACTATAAATTCATGAATTTGTATTATTGTTATCTTTCCTAATTTTTATGACATTCAGTTTATTGTTATGTTGATGCTATGGAACTGTAATCTATTGATATTATTGAACCGATGTTATTTAAACAACATTAATGTTGTTCATAACACTAATTCATTCATTGATTATAATGTATATATAACTGTAGAGCCTGATGCTGAAGTTATCGAAAAGAGTACTCTTTGTTCAGTATACATTCTTTTGAAAATTTTAATGGGCATTTTTAATCAGTTAAAAATTAAATCATCACATGACAAGGAAGTTCAGATTCCAAGTCAATAAGAAATGATCAGTAGAGATATCAATCAACTACCAGTCACACTAATGCTTGCCAGAAGTCACAATTATATCATTCATGGAGTTCTCATACATGTATTCCCCTAATGAATTTGAATACTGCAAGAACAACAGTTTTTGCAGAATATCAAATGGGACCATCATTTATTTCCTCTGATTTCTCATCAGGTAAGTTCATTTCATACTAAAACATGCACTGAAGATGTTATCTAGAAAGCTTCGCAACTAAATCGACAGGCTCAGAGAACACAACTAATTCAAAATCATCCACCTAAGCTACAAATCTTCTCCATTATTTTATAATACTACTATTTATCATTTGAGTAGAATAATCATCTATGACAAAAAATCTAAGCTTTCCGTATTCGAGAAGCTGTGGCTCTGAGGATATAAAAGTATTTATAAACTTGTGAAGTAATGACAGTGAAAACAAAATCCACTACTTTTCTGTTGTTGTTATTAGGTGATTACACTAACTTGTCTCGTATGATTTTACCTGCTTATTATATGGTGTTTATTGGATGGAAGTACTTTGTCTGGAAAAAAGACAATCTTGAACAATTGAAATTCAAAGTATCGTTTAATTAAAACATCTTAACGAGTGTAATTTAAAGTTAATTGGTGGATGGTGACTAGCAATGGAATCCAGGATGCGCACTTCGTCCTATCTGAGACTCGTCAGCACAAGAAGCCGACTCATCAACCTGAGACCGAGAACTTTGGTCCAATCAGTCGACGGGAAAATCTAAAATTGAGTGTAATTTAAGTTTCTTTATAGCGAAATCCCTACATTCTGAAATGATAGAGAATCTGTTTTGTTTTAAAAGCTTCTGTATGAAGAGAATAGAAATGAGACAGCCGTTGAAAATGAGAAGAAACATCTTTTTTAATCGTTTCTTTGAAGGAGAACATGATGGATAAAGATGACTCAAGCTTTCTCAGGCCAATATTCGTTTCAAAGCCTACGCGATATCAATCATCCTAATTATGGAAATCCTTCTCGAGTAATGAAAAGAAAACAACCTAGGAAGTGTATAGTCTAATGCATGACATATTTTACAGTCCAAGTTACTAAGATACGCCGAGTTGGCTGCAATCCAAAATTGCCGCATTTAAGTTGATTCAACATACAGCTTATTAAAACAATTAGGAAGTTATAACCAAAGTTGGTTGATTTAATAAAGGTCGAAAAAATTCGAAAATCAATTTTACCGTATAATTTTATGAGTATTAATGAGCATTGTAAAAGTTAGATGTATGAACTAAGGTGATAACAGAATTAAGCTATTTAGTTTAATCTGCATACAGCAGTATGTCTGAAATCTGTTTGAAGCCGGTTCGCCTACTATATGTCTGAACCCATTGGCTGAGACAAAATTAATTCGAAACTAGCTTATTTTTTTAGTGCGAACATACCATAATATGATTTAATGTTACTTTCTTGTGATGTAGTTTCTGTGAAATAAAATTGAGTTGTTAGAAATAATGACAGAATTAAGTAAAAATTGACCGTGGTGATGTGAATATTTTCATAATTCGCTAACTCACAAGTGTCTCTTTTGATTGGACACTAGTAACTAGTATGATGTTTCTAGTCCTTTCTTTGATGCAGACTGAATTCTATCAGTCAGGTTTGCAATGTGGCCACCATTCTAGGTAGCTCGCCATCACTGTGCATATTGATTTGATGATATTAGATGGTTGGAGGCAATCGGCAGGAATCCTTGCAAGCTTGACTGATAGAATTCAGTCTGCACCAAAGAAAGGACTAGATACATCACACTAGTTACTAGTGTCCAATCAAAAGTATCCCATACAGTCCTACAGGAGGTCAATCGCGAGCCCGAATAGCTCAGTGGTAACGTCTCTCACTGCAGCACTGGGTGACTTGGGTTCGGATCTCAGAAGGGACATGAGTTGTTCCTTCAAGGCGCTTGCAGATACGTCTTGCTGGCTGGTGAATGCCAACTAACACGAAACCTAGGTACAGCCAAGGCTTCCTGCCGATTGCCTCCAACCATCTAATAGCACAAGTGTCTCATTTTTCGGGCGAAATATTACTGATTTAAATGAGTAATTAAAGCAACCAAATTGTGGGGATTTAAACAATGTTTCTTTCATAAACAGTGCACACCTGGAGTATCCCAGGTCAGAGAGTTGAGTCATCTAGAGCCATCTGAATTACTTGGGAAATTCTATTATAGTTATGTCTTTGTGTTCAAATTTATTCCCCTAGCGTATTAATTTCCTTTAGACATTGACTCTTTAATACAAATGTACCTCTGTTACAGACATTTAGCATTTTCTGTGACCATATCTTTAACAACAATGTCTTATTACCAGTGTCCATATCTTATTTGAAAGAGTTACTGCTCTTATGTACTAGCTGACGAGTCCCAAATAGGACGAAATGCGCATCCTGGATTCCACTGCTAGTCACCATCCACCAATTAACCTCTAATTACATGCCCAGACATCATCGAAGCATCTGCACAAGAAGCCGACATGTCAACCTGAGACCGAGCACTTCGGTCCAATCAATCGACGGGAAAATCTAAAATTCAATTAAATAATTAATATGACCCATTGCACAAGAAGTGGCTCTCATCGCCCAAATGGATAATGCTTTGGCGTTTGAAACTATGGGCACTGGGTTCGAGCGTCAGTGGGAACATCATCATTCACTGGGGAATTTAGCTACATCCGTGTAACGAGTCCCAAATAGGATGAAACGCGCGTTGTCTTGGATTTCACTGCTAGTCACCATCCACCAGTTAAATAACAGTGTTAAGTTTAAATTTGAAGGCAAACATTTCCATCAGATCGATAGTGTTGCTTTAGGAAGTCCCTTAGGCTCATTGTTAGCTGATAAATACAGGTCACATGCTGAGAAACTAGCTGGGGAGGTAAGTTGAAAGGTTTATCTTTATAAGAGATACGTGGATGACATAAGAGTCACTTGTGATAAACTGACAGACGCCACAGAAATCTCTAACCAGATAAATACACTTCAAAACAGCATATCGTTAATGTGTGTAAAAGAGAATAATGGCTGCTTTCCACTGTTAGACGTACTCATAATCAGCTGGTAAGATGAGCCGATATAATGATCCGTCTACAGAAAGAACCCAAGGGCATGACAGTATCTAAATTATCATAGTTTCCGTCCACTACAGTATAAAAAGGCGTCATTCAAATGATTGTTCAGACGCATTCAGCATATGCTTACAGATAACGCCACTGAAGAACAAACACAACACTTCACTAAAATATTGCTAGATAAGAAATTACCGCTGAAATTCACTAAGTGTTACAGGAGTATAAAACAAAGGGCTCTACCGATCCAGTCAGCTCCCAAAAAGAATGTTTATGTATCCTTACCACTCTACGGTGACCAACAAACAAAATTCATGGCGGCAATTAATAGAACTTACTATGCAGCCAAACTTATTTTCACAGAGAAAACGATATCTGTGCTGTTCTGTAAATCCTCACATCATCCGAACGATGGTGCCATATCGTACTGTATTTACCAATTTCCATGTATGTGTGGACACACGTACTTAGGGAGGACCTATCAGTCTCTGTGGGTTAGGGCTACAGAACATATTCCAAACTGGCTGCAACAGCAAATAAAATCACCGAATACAAATGATCCCGGAAATAGATGTCCAACATCATCTTTAGCGAAGCACGTCATAGAGACGGGTGATAATGCTGTTTTCAATAATGACTTTAAACAAACTTTAAATAAAACAAGTTCGGGTCACTTACTTAAATTCGTTGAAGCCTTAGCCACAAAAAAGGTTTAAACCTGTCTTATGTGTTCAGAAAATTTTTTCACTGCTTTGAACCTGGCTTAGAATTAAAATTCAGAACTAAGGTTCAATTTACTTCGAGCTCTAGTGAGAATTCGTGACCAGTGACGTCCATCCTGTCGCGAGTGAGGACTTATATTCGCTGTTGATATTAGTTGATGGTCGCGCTAAAATCATGAATTGGTAGAAGTCAGAATTCATGGGCGGG